TGAACAAGTCGACGTCGAAACAAGTAATGAATGAATAAATATGAAATTAATTAGATACTTTTAATAAATTATTTATATTAATTAAAATTAAGATTATAAATTTATTTATAATTAAACCACAATTTTTCACCAAATTTTCTTTCTTTAACAGACATTATAATTTTTATTTCTTTAACAGACATTATAATTTCTCGATAACCAATCTCGGCAACTAAATAAATTCAAAGCATTTTCTCAGCATCCAAACACCCAAATCATACCATTTTCCAACCAAACAAATGGAAACCCACTAAGAATTGCTTCTTTACCCAACTGCTTCTGTTCTTTCCATTTTGAATCCTGCAACTTGGATAATCTCTTTACAAACAAACATATAACAAAAAAACAAAAAAGTGTAGCTGGGTTCATGAAACCCAGCAAACTGGGTTCCACCGAACCCAGCAGACACAGAGGAAGAAGAGGAAGAAAGAAAAAGAAAAAAAAAAGAAAGGAAGAAGATGATCAAAAGAGGGGAAGAAGCTGGATCAAGAAAGGGCGATGGGTAAATTTGTAATTTTTTATTTTTTTATTAAGGTAAAATCGGTTTATGAGTTGGTAATGAGTTGGATGAGTTGGCGATGACGTGCCTTAAAAAAAAATTCCAAATCAGCGCTTTTTTAAATTGTTTTTTCCATGTCATCAAAAAAATTATAAAAAATGCCACATGTCGTAGTTAACGGTCTAAATTGACAAAAGGACTAACGGAGTGCATTTCTTAGAGTTGAGGGATCAAAAAAGTGTAAAAAATTGTTGAGGGACCAAAATTGTGCAACTCACTAAAGTTGAGGGACCAAATTTAGCATTTAACCTTTTCTTTACAGTGAATCTAGGTTCACCATCACCAGTGCTGGATTTTTTTCTTCCTCCTCTCCTGTCTCTCTCAATCCTTTGAAAATCAAACTTCTTCCTTCCTTTCCCCACTCATCCTTTTTCTTTCTTCTTTCTCTTTTTCCTTCTTCTTCCTCTCCCAATCAAACCCAGATCTAGGTTTTTCTCAAATCCAGCTATCCTAAGAAATGGATAAACTCAGTGTGTAAGAGCCGCCATCCACAGGACTCGCTGCACAAGCACATGGTGGATCTCAAAATGAATCTTTAGATGGTCTCCGAAGAGATTACCGCCTCTCTCGAGGAGCAAAGCGCTTCCGCCCTTCTCTGTGTCCCTCGTGCCACCCGTGACATCCTCCGCCTCCATGATGACGCCATTTCCCTCCGCAATTTCGTTGCTGGAATCCTTGACAAGCCCAAGAAGGTCTGTTGTTCTTATTATCTTTCCTTCTGTTAGAGATCTTATGTCAATTTCGTGTTGCTTGGATCTTAAGAAAGTGCAGGAGAGTTGAAATTCGTTTAACTCAGTAGTGTCTAAATTGGAAACCGAATACTAGAGATTTGGTTTCAAAACCTTTTAATTATTAGAAATGTGCTTAATGAAACTGAATTTTGAAATTGAAGGTGGAAGGCTCCTTAGCAGAATCTGAGTTGTTAATGCATGGTTCTCTGGTTTACATCTAGGTTAAATGCTAAATTTGGTCCCTCAACTTTAGTGAGTTGCACATTTTTTATTCCTCAATAATTTTTTGCACTTTTTTGATCCCTCAACTCTAAGAAATGCACACCGTTAGTCCTTCTGTCAATTTCGACCGTTAACTCCGCTACGTGGCATTTTTTATATTTTTTTTTATGACATGGCAAAAATAACTTTAAAAAGTGTTGATCTGGAATGTTATTTTGATGACATGTCAACGCCACCTCATAAATTAAATTTGCCTTAATAAAAAAATTAAAAAATTATAAATTTACCTTAATACCCCTGTCTCCTTTCTTGATCCATCTTCTTCCCCTCTTTCAATCCATCTTCTTCCTTTCTTTTTTCTTTTTCTTTCTTTCTCTTCTTCCTCTTCTTCCTCCACCAAACCCAGCAAATTGGGTTCGACGGAACCCAGCCTGGGTTCCATCGAACCCAGATCTACTGGGTTCCTCGAGCCCAACAACTGGGTTCCACCGGGTTCAATTCTTCTACTTCATGGGCTGATGAAAAAACCTTCATTTTCAGGGTTCAGTATGATGCCAAACCCTCAAATTTTGCTACCCATAAGCACTAGTACAAGTCTTCTCTTGCTTCGGTACTTTCCACCACCGAGGCCCCCAACATAATCCATACTTATGACACTGTTTTTCATGGCTTCTCCACCAAGTTGTCTTCCTTGGAGGCGTTGAAGCTCCAAACGCTTCCCCATGTGGTTGCTGTCATTTCAGAGCAAGTTAGGAGGCTGCAGACAACGAGATCGCCTAAGTTTTTGGGTCCCAAGACCACTGACAATGCTAAGTTACTCAACGAATCTAATTTTGGGTTCGATCTTGTGATTGAACTTTTTGATACCGGGATATGGCTCGAGCGGCAGAGTTCTAATGACCGGGAGTTGGGTCCGATTCCTGCGAAATGGAAAGGGTAGTGCGTGATGACGAAGGATTTTAGATCGAGTTCATGTAATAAGAAGCTTATTGGAGTGAGATTCTTCTACAATGGGTAGAAGGCAACGAATGGGAAGATGAATGAAACCTCGGAGTAGAAGTTGCCTGAGATTGGTGATGTGGGGCCCATTTGAGTAGATTTGTCGCTTTTCAATGACAGTAACATTACGTGGCAAAATATTTTGTCCATATCATCACCTTTTTAAATTTTGCTCTCCACATCATCAAAAAAAAATATAAAAAATGCCACATAGGTAGAGTTAACGGTCCAAATTAACAGAGGGACTAACGGTGTGCATTTCTTAGAGTTGAGTGATCAAAAAGTACAAAAAAATTGTTGAGAGATCAAAAATGTGTATTTCTTAAAGTTAAGGGACCAAATTTAGCATTTAACATTACATCTATTGAACAGGATGCTGCAAGGTTAACACAATGGAGATCTGGGTTTTAGATCTAGGTTCCAGTGATGTGCAGATGAGAGAGGAGGAGAAAAACCCAAATCTGGGTTTGATTTGGAAAGGAAGAAGGGAGAAGAGAGAGAAGAAGAATAAAAAGGAAAAAGATGACTTTTTTTTTTTAATTTGAAAAATGGTGAAACAATAATAAAAAATATCAAATTTTTTTACTTGAAATTTACACGTCATTCAAATTAAGTTGTCCAATGATGTTGTGGCATTTAACGTGCCAGCTACCCATTTAACCTATCATCTGTTCATTTAACATGCCATGTGTCCCTTTAATGTGCCAGCTGTTAATTTAACTTACGGAAGGATCATTTTGGTACCAAAAATGAAAGTTTAAGGATAATTTTAATACTTTTGAAAGTTGAAGGACAATTTTGGTATCAAAGTAAAAAGTTGAGGGACCAAAATGATACTTAAACCTTTAATTTAATAAATTGCATTGTCCTTTCATATAATATGATATTTGATATTTGAACAAGTCGACGTCGAAACAAGTAATGAATGAATAAATATGAAATTAATTAGATACTTTTAATAAATTATTTATATTAATTAATTAATTAATAATATTTAAATCTTACCATAGACATTCCTACACTTTTGTAAATTGACCTAAAAATGGGTCAAGCAGGTGGTTTTGGATTGGTTGATTGGGTTACTTTGGATGTTGAGTTTATTGATTTGGATCACTTTAAGTTGCGAATAAAAGAGAATAAGTTCGTAACCCACTCATATATTTTGAATTAGATCAGATCATCTCAACTTTTTTAAAAAACTTTAAATTAAAAATTTTCAATATTTTTTCTCGTTGAAAAGGAATTTGAATATAGTATTTTGATTTTCTTAATTATGAAACTCATTCATTTTCCTTTTTTACTATGAGCAATTTCTTTGGAAATTGACATTTATTATAAATACAGTAAGATAATTATTTGAAAAATTATTTGTACACATTTGGTTTAACATATTTTCTGACATTCATCTCAATTCAATTATGAAAATGTAATATAACTACAACTAATTCAATTAGTCTTTCATTTTGTATATATAACTGCATCTTTAAATTTATTGGTTTTAATTTTAAACTAGAAAATAATAATTTTTAATAAGTGTATTATGTAATGTGTTGAATCAGAATGTATACCAATTACTGTCCTAATTATTTACAAAAAGAAATTACGGAAAATCAGAACATCTTGGTAATAAAAATGTCAAGACATCTTGAATTTCACTTTTCACTTAATAAAATGTAAATAGGTTAATTAATTGGGATGTACAGGTATTTTGTCTATACATTAAAATTTTGCATCTAATCTAACTTTATCTAGTAATTAACCAAACATAAGAGTGTTTGGTTTAGAGGTTGGAGAATAGCTATTGACTATTAGCTCTAATTGAACAATTTATACATACTAGATTATAAATTATAATGATTATTAACCATTAAATATATTTTTTAGTTAGATCAATTATTAAATATTGATTATTAACTATCAATTATATATAAACAATTAATCTAAAACCCTTTTTAACTTAATAAAATCCTATCTATATAATCCAATCCAATCCTACACGTTGAATCATATCCTCTCCAATCTCATCCTCCACCCAAGCGTGTGCCCTCTAAAAAGAGGTGATATGCATCTTGTTA